CTATGATGTAGCTACACTGTCTGGTGTGGACTAACTATGATGTAGCTACACTGTCTGGTGTGGACTAAATATGATGTAGCTACACTGTCTAGTGTGGACTAAATATGATGTAGCTACACTGTCTGGTGTGGACTAACTATGATGTAGCTATACTGTCTAGTGTGGACTAACTATGATATAGCTAATCTGTCTAGTGTGGACTAAATATGATGTAGCTACACTGTCTGGTGTGGACTTACTATGATGTAGCTATACTGTCTAGTGTGGACTAACTATGATATAGCTACTCTGTCTAGTGTGGACTAAATATGATGTAGCTACACTGTCTGGTGTGGACTTACTATGATGTAGCTACACTGTCTAGTGTGGACTAACTATGATGTAGCTACACTGTCTGGTTTGGACTAACTATGATGTAGCTACACTGTCTAGTGTGGACTAGCTATGATGTAGCTACACTGTCTGGTGTGGACTAAATATGATGTAGCTACACTGTCTGGTGTGGACTAACTATGATGTAGCTACACTGTCTAGTGTGGACTAGCTATGATGTAGCTATACTGTCTGGTGTGGACTAACTATGATATAGCTACACTGTCTAGTGTGGACTAACTATGATGTAGCTACACTGTCTGGTGTGGACTAACTATGATGTAGCTACACTGTCTGGTGTGGACTTACTATGATGTAGCTACACTGTCTAGTGTGGACTAAATATGATGTAGCTACATTGTCTAGTGTGGACTAACTATGATGTAGCTACACTGTCTGTTGTGTAAAGATACATTTATGTCAGGAATGGCATCATCTGGGACAGAAATGAGAAGATTATATCTGGGATGGTAACAGGACAGTTAGTTGTACACTTAGAAAGATGTTATGTTCAGGCTGTATAGGGCAATGGCACAGAGATTGGCTATTGCACCCTAACAGTTCTGTTACACTGCATATTGCATATGTGGTTTAATGGGCTACAAGCTAAGATTGTTATTTATGCACTGTGATAGTTGTTTTTTGTTTGTATGACCTGTGTAAATGATGGCTACCTGATGAAAGTGTGTGCGTCAGTGTCTGTGTGTGTGTGCCTCAGTGTCTGTGTGTGTGTGCCTCAGTGTCTGTCTGTGTGGAGCTAATGAGTTGAAGAGACATTATCGTGTGATATTTAGTTAAGGATAATTGTATGACAGTAGCATGCTTGAAATCTTCAGTATAATGTTACAATTATTTGAAATCTATACTGTGTATAATGTACATTTGATATATAAACATTGTATATGTACATGTTTAATATATAAACATTATATGATGTACATGTTTGATATATAAACATTGTATGATGTACATGTTTGTTATATAAACATTGTATATGTATATGTTTGTTACAAAACCCATTGTATAATGTACATGTTTGTTAAAAAAATAATTGTATAAAGTACATGTTTGTTAAAAAAACATTGTATAATGTACATATTTTATATATAAACATTGTATGATGTACATGTTTGTAAAAAAACCCATTGTATAATGTACATGTTTGATATCTAAACATTGTATGATGTACATGTTTTATATATAAACATTATATGATGTACGTGTTTGATATATATATGAACATTGTATGATGTATATGTTTGATATATAAACATTGTATGATGTACATGTTTGATATATAAACATTGAATGATGTACATGTTTAATATATAAACATTATATGATGTACATGTTTGATATATAAACATTATATGATGTACATGTTTGATATATAAACATTGTATGATGTACATGTTTGATATATAAACATTGTAT